TGTGCGAGGCCGCGATTAATGAGATGCCGAGGCATGAAAGCATGTCAGAGCGCACGAAACTAAAGGATTTGGAAGTCTAGCAACTGCGTGCCCCACTCCACCAAACACCACTACGGCGGCCCAGACACCACCGGCGGCCCCGCAGCCGCCGCCACCATCGCCGCCGTCGCCGCCGCCGCCGCCGCCGCCGCCGCCGTTGCCGCCGCTGCCGTCGTCGTCGCAGCCGCCGCCGCCGCCGACGTTGAAGCCTGCCCAACAGCAGTCCCCGCAGTCGGCAGCTCGCCGTCCAGCCAGAACGCCATCGTTGGCTGGGAGCCCCCATGTGTCACATGGGCAACGACGCCGCCGGCACATTACGCGACCTCGAAGTCGACGCCGCTCATCTCCTTGCGTCCCCGAGGGAACCAGCTCGCATGGGCCCCGGCCATGTCCGTGACGGCATCCTTCACTCGCTGCCAGTCTGCGTGCACCATGCGGCGAACGTCCTCGACGAAGGCGGCACACGTCACCATACTTGGGGGCCAACTTGAGTTGCGGCTTGAAGTTGATGCGAAAGTCGCGCGACTCTGGGGTCAACTTGGGTCGACTGATCAAGTCGCACGACTTGCGAGTTGATCAGGAGTTGACCCAATAGTCGCGCGACTTTTCATCAAATATCGTCGCGGATTTAGTTGCCTCCTCATTATTGCTGGCTGTTGTGATGCTGATCGTTTATAGGTCTAAGTGGTTTAGTGTGTTACAGTAGGCGGCGCTGCGCTGCACACGGGCAGAACGACATGCGGTGTACGCAACGTAAGGAACACAGCAACTTCGCAAGCAGTCAAGTGGTGTGTTGCACGTACAAGGGGGGACAGTCTGTTTGATGGCCATGTTAATGCCGTGCAAGAAAGGAGCTAGAAAGGAGCTAGGGTAGGTGCACCACCAGCAGAGCACCAAGCACGACGCAGCCCACCAAGGTGGCCAACCTTGGCATGCAATTTTTCTGTTCTGCAGTGCACAGCGGTGTTCCCTGATGATGGTTCTCTAGGTTGTTGTTGTTGTTGTGGTTGTTGTTGTCGCTAATACTATCTAGCGTGCTT